AGTGAAATGAAAGTAAATATAGAACAGATCGTATTATCGTCGGGAGGCCTACGGGTCGACGAGGAGACCTATGCAGACTTGAAAACGAAGAAGAATGGTAGACCGAATAAGCTGCGCGCGAGAAAGAATTAAACCCAGTTTCAATTGTCCACCGCTGACAGGTGGCGCCATCTAGCGACGACTTTGGAAGTAGTGTACTGATACCCTTAGATCTCTTCTACTGGCCTCTGTTTGGAAATTACTGATAAAAATCCTATCCAAAGAGTAAAAAGATCTTGTCTGCTTTTTATTTATGGAATAAACAAATTTAATATGACAAAGGCAAATGATGGGTTTAGAGTGGGTTGATGTAAATGAGCAATGATTTAAAAAAAAAACTATGGAGAATTGAATGAAGAATAGGGCTGTTAAAGTGGAATTTCTATTACAAAATTGAATTAAAGAGGAAGTTCTAAAGGAAAGGTCGAAATGACGAGGTTTTTACCTTATGGCATCAAATGATTCTTAAGTAGGTTGATATAAAGCCAGTACATTATAATGGGTTTATCATGAGTGTAGACTTCCTTTGGAGACTATGATAAATACTGACCTCTCCTAAGCTGGCTGGACCAACTGTGCAGAATCTATTAAGATCTATTACATTATTTAGTACCTATTCTGTACCAATTTGTACAACCAATAAAAATTTTGTACTGTGCTGTTTTCAAAAAAAAAAAAAAAAAAAAACGTGGCGCTACTAGGTTAATATTAAGCTAGCAGGACCACATTTAAAAAAATACAAAGTTAAAATTAGAAAGGACTAAATTTGTACTAATTTGTACCATTAAAAAACCTAATTTATTTAATCAAACTACATGAAACAACTTTAAATTGAATACAAATCTGTTATACTCTTTGCACAAACAGAATCTATTGTCATTTTTGCATAAAAAACAACACAATCTCTACTGTTAAAATATAAACTTTCAGAATTTGTACCCCTGCCGTTACTTAAGAAACTGTACCGAATTCCTGTTAGAATCAAGAGAAAAGTCTCCTTTTGCACGAGCAGAATCGATAGTTACTTCTGCAATAAAAGTAACAATTTTTATCGTTAAAATATAAAGTTTCAGATTTTGTACCCCTGCCGATCCTATAGAAACTATTCCGAACTCATATTAGGCTTAAGAGAAAAGTATCCTTTTGCACGAGCAGAATCAATAGTTACGCCTGCAATAAAAGTAACATAATTCGTATCGTTAAAATATAAATTTGCAGATTTTGTACCCCTGCCGTTCCTATAGAAACTATCCCGAAATCATATTAGGCTTAAGAGGAACGTATCCTTATGCACGAGCAGAATCAATTATTACTTCTGCAATAAAAGTAACATAATTTATATCGTTAAAATACAAAGTTTCAGAATGTGTACCCCTGCCGTTCCTATATAAACTAACCCGAACTCATATTAGGCTTAAGAAAAAAGTATCCTTATGCACGAGCAGAATCAGTTACTACTCCTGCAATAAAAGTAACATAATTTGTAACGTTAAAATATAAAGTTTCAGATTTCAAATGATGGTACTTTTATTGCAGGAGTAATAATTGATTCTGCTCGTGCAAAAGGATACTTTTCTCTTAAGCCTAATATGAGTTCGGGATAGTTTCTATAGGAACGGCAGGGGTACAAATTCTGAAAGTTTATATTTTAACAGTACAAATTATGTTATTTTTTATGCAAATATAATAATATATTCTGTTTGTGCAAAAAGTAACTTTTTTTTAAGTATAACAGATTTGAATTCAATTAAAAGTTGTTTCAGGCAGTTTGATTAAATAAATTATGTTTTTTTAATGGTACAAATTCAGTCCTTTTTAATTCTACTTTTCTATTATTTTATTTAATGTGGTCCTGCTAGCTTAATATTAAAGTAGAAGCACCATGTGTTTTTTTTTGCAAACGGTACATAGTACAAAAAATTGATTGGTACTACAAAGTGGTACAAATGCAGTTCTTCTTAATTCTACTTTTATTTTATTAATGTGGTCCTGCGCTTAATGTTAACCTAACAGCGCCACGTTTTTTTTTTTTTTTTGAAAACAGCACATGGTACAAAATTTTTGGTGGTACAAATTAGTACAAAATAGATAATAAATAATGTAATAGATCCTAATCGATTCTTCCCAGTTGATCCTGCCAGCTTAAGAGAGGTTAAATATTGCATTCAAAAGAGAACAGGACATTTTCCAATGCTTGAGCATAAAGTCAACTTACAGTGAGAATCCGTTGGAGACTAAGATATATAGGGTGCCACATTATTTTTGGAAAATCGCTTCATCTTAAGGGGCATCTTTTGACACAAAAACCATCATCATATATATTGGAAGACTTCTTAGTCTATTATTGATTACTCTTTGTTTTTAGCTAGCATATATATGGGAGCATCGGTAAATAGGGTACCTATATTATATTGCCCCACCAAATAAATAAATGGTGATTAAAAACATTAATTGCTGCTCCTTTAGCAAGAATATAGACAAGCCATAAATATGGAACTTATCTAGTTTTATATTTTGCACAATCGTTTATTGACTGTACCCGGCTATGTCAATAATTAAAAACACTGTATCATGTTGATGTTAAAGTGTGATACAGACATATTTATTGTTAAATATGTCTACATGTTCTATTGAATGGTATAATCAACTATGCTATATCTTGTATTCACGATTTCTGGTTGGAACAGAAATGTGATATATGTTGGGTATAGGGTATTATTGCACTGCCACCTAAAAAATCTATTGTGACCCCTTCTGTCTATAACGACCCTTTTAATCTTATCTTCTTGAGGAAGTGTAAGATTTATAGTGGCTTTAAGTTAGGATTCTGGAATGCTACACATTCAGTCAGAATGTGAATGGAGGTTCCGTCCTCCTCCTCACATAATTTGCACTTACTATCTTCTACTACTTTCAGTTTACTAAGGTGTCCTTTGAGTCGACAATGCCCGGTAAGGATCACTGTTACAATGCTCAACTCTTATATTCGGATAAATCTGCTATCGGTCGAACCAGCTATTTTTTTTTAGACCATTGTACACCCTCTGAAACACATTTCAAAATACTTTTTTTGCCCTGCAAACGCTTTAAAATATTTTTTTCTCACCTTAAAACTTTCAAATGTGTCCTCTAATTTCGATGTTGAAAAAATTGTGATTAATTTCTTATTATAAAAACTACTAAATAATAATATTAGAACATCCATAAAGCTATAAACCATTCCAAATTGACATTGTGACAAGTGTGACGTGTGTCTAAAAGAAATGCAATGTTGCCATATCAATTATTACATGTTAATGGTCAATTTTACCTATGTCCTGTGTTGTATCAGGCCAACAAATTGACTTCAGTATCAGAAAAGTTGTATAAAACTAACGATTTAAAAAATGTCAATATCAAGATCTTCTTCCTCGTCCTCATCGGCATAATTACATAAAATAAGAAAAATTAAACAAATATTAACTAATTTACCTAACCTGTACGGCCTGGAGTCATCGCGAGTTGCTTCGCAAAAAATATATACATAAAATAAGAAATATTAAACAAATTTTAACTAATTTACTTAACTTGTGTGGCCTGGAGTCACCACGGGTTGCTTCTCAAAAAATATCCATAACATAATAAAAATTAAACAAATTTCAACTAATTTACCTAACCTGTACGGCCTGGAGTCATCGCGAGTAGCTTAGCAATACATACATAAAATAAGAACAATTAAACAAATATTAACTAATTTACCTAACTCTAAAAAACAAAAGTATTTTCGAGCTATACTTTATCGAACAAAACAATCTTGGAACTAAGATTTTTTGAAAAATAGTGTTTCCGAACTAGACTAGACTAGAAGAAACGTATTTTCGAACTAAGAGTTTTTGAACAAAATTCCACCAACGCGTCTGGCTAGTGAACCTGGATCCCAACTTTTAACGAACGTGTCTTTATCGCAAGTATCTAATAATAAGAAAATATAAAACAAGAAGACGAAAAAACGATATCAAAATTTTAACCCTTATCTTGCTACGCCAACAGCCTGGACACAGCTCAAATTGAAAAAAAAGTATTTTTTACAAACAGTAGATAAGTTCCGACATGCCGTAATTAACGCACATCATGAAATGAAATAAAAAGACGAATGTCCAAGTTCATCTGCCGGCCAGACACTATTTAATTTTTCGGCAACGCTGTATGGCCTGAAGCTATTTCCAAACAGCCAACTTTCATTAACTGAACTATTTCCTGTCGTATACGTTTTCTTACTCGATTTGGCAAACCCGCATTAACAGAAACTAGAAACGTCAATTGTCATTGAAAATAATTTACTGTATTTATCTTTCTAACAAACTTGAAAATGAAAAATAAGAATGGTTTATTTAACTTTTTTTATGGTGGAGACCCCAACAAATTTTAAGGAGTTAAGATAAAAAAAAAATTTTGTGTCAGCGAAACCAAAATTGTTGTGTATAGTGTGTTTCAAAGTATTTAGAGACTTTCTGTAAAATTTCAATAATAACATCCGCCGTTCGAGTGTCGGAAGTATCTTAACCTGTCTTAACACCAAGAGATTGTTCCAGTTAACAGTTCTTCTACTGCCCAATTCTTTTTTTAATGACATAGTTAATCACTCTCAAAGGAATATGTCAAGACATTAAACATTATGTCAATATCACAATTTGACACCAAAATGACAGATGTACAAATTTATAATTTACTACAAACATACGTATATCTAGTTGAAATAAAACAAAATAAAAAGAAACAGATTATTTATTTGAGTAAATAAAGTATATGTATTAAGCCACTCAGATGATATCTTATACTTTTGCCGAAAATATTCAATTAGTTGCAGATGTACATATTATTTTTCATTGGTCAAAAACAGCTAAAAAATGTATTAAGCAATTATATCGATGTATAAATTTACATCAAGTTAAACATCTTCATTCTGCTCAAGTGCTTTTTACTTTTGTAATGGATATTTAAACCGTTGGTTCTGAATGTTTTAAAATCACACATAGTACATTCGCGGGTTGGTTCCTTTCCACATTCGTTTAAAACGTGTTTTCTCAAGTCATATTTGTACTTGTAAGTTCTTAAGCATTTGCTGCAGGCAAATCTTGGTCCTAAAATCAAAACAACAATAAGTAATATAGTAAAATTTTATTATATGTGAAGCAAAGTTAAAAAACGAAAAATTAGTTATCAGTGATGTATAATAATATCTACAGAATAGAGAACACCTTGGTAAATATTAACATTAGATCAGGTCACATAAGAATCACATAAGCAAACGTTACTCTGTCAACGCTCCAGTTGAGGTTTTAATACCAAACAGAACGCAGATCACTATGAGAGGACCCAGTGCCCAAAGACAGGAATATACCGGTCAAAGCCTGCGGAAATCACTAGCTGAAGTATTCTCCAAAAACCACAACAACAACCTTAGCTATGCAATAGGAAGACACGCCTCAGTATTTCAGGTTGTGATTTAAGTAATCTTGCAAAGTGCAAGAACAAGGAGAGCTATCTAAAATAAGCAGATCCAAATAGTGTCAGAAATCTAGGCGGCCTTTAAGGCCATAACAAGTCAGAAAGTGACACTGCGGCTGCTATGGGATTGCATGGAAGAGCTGAGAACACTGGCATACCAAAATAGAGTAAAATAGACAGTGCTAGAAAAAATGCGGGAACTAGATATACACCTTGGAATAGCAAAAAGTGTAGTTTGAGATTTCAAAAATGATTGGGTTAGAAGAAAACACAATAACTATCGGGAAACAAGCACATGGAAAGACCTTTATAGGAAGATCATGTTCAAAAAGAATAGGAGAACTACTCTTTATGAACGGGAACTAGTTAAAAACAATAACAGGACTTATGACGTGGAACATGTTGTCTAAATGCTGCATTAATTATATTGGTCAGTTTTACTAAACCTTTTCGTGGTAATGTCTTTAGTATCTCTCCTGTGATCAGATCGAACCTGGGAGCTTTTTTTACAATGTATCTTTGTATTTCTTTAGGACTAGTTAATAATAATATCTCTATATCACCCACTTCTTCTTGGTTCCTGGGTTCGGGTAGAAGATGCATTCTAAATAGTTGGTAAAGGCATCAATTTTTTGTTTTCAACTTTTTGTCCCCATCCCATTTTCTGTTCGTATTGGGGGTATGTGTAAAATTGGTCTGTATACTTTTTTAACAGCTTTCCATATTGAGTAATCAGTGATTTGGTCATCTGTGAGCTCTCTCTCAGATATTTGTTGGTTGACTCATTTTTAGTTTTTTCTATCTCTCTTCGTAGCTGTTGAGTAAGTATATTTAATTTGTGTTTATTCTTTTCTGTTCTCATTTTTTTGCCACTCCTTCTGAGCCTTTCTTTTGTTTTGTATTAAATCTTTTATTTCTTTGGGGTACCTATGATTTTCCTTTGTATTAATGGTGTATTATTCCACGCAGCTTGTTAGATATTGACCATAAATAATTCCGTTTCTGTATCCAAATCTTTCACTGTTCTAATTGGGACATTTACTTAAATTTTTCTAGCAAGTTTAAGTTGAAATCTTTCCCAGACTGTATGTTCGTTCATCAGTGTGGGATTGAGTTCTCTAGTAATAATATTTTCACTCATTGTTGGGAGTTTTGGGGAGTAATCAGATATTAATTCCTCAACATCTTCTATCTTTATAAAATTTGCTGCAATATATCTGGAAATAGAAAAGTCTAGAAGGTCTCATATTTTGTTTATATCGCTTCGCCAATATGTAGGTTTTCCCGTGGAGTGCCATCTACATTTCTGATTTTTGATAGCCTCGTTCACTTCTTTTCCTTTGTTTATAGTAAGTCTTGAAACCCAGCATATATTTTTTGCATTAAAATAAGCACCTGATATAAATTGTTCACCAAGACTTGATACGAAGTTGTTGTAGTCTTCTCTTTTGAGATTATATCTGGTAGATGCAATAGTGAGTACATATTTTTTGTTTTTCTTCAGTTTCGCTTTTTTCTTGTGTGTTACTTTTAATAAAAATAGAAGCCCCACCTCGGGCAGAATTGTTTGGATGAATGGCATCTGATATCCTTTTAATTTGACGTGCGTATGTTCGTAAAATGTGTTTCTGCTATTAGGCATATATACACATGTTGTATCTCTAAGGTCACTAATATATCTTGCTGTTGTAATAATCCATTTGTGTTTTATTCGAGAATCCTAAGATCAGGAGTAATTTTCTCTTTTATCATCTTTTATTATTATTTTTTAGTCTGTCCATTTCTAGAACATTTTTGTTAATTTTTTTTCTTTATCCATTTGATTTATTATTTTTTGCAGCATTAAATTTATAGGATCAGTACTGCTCTCTACTGTCGATTGTATTACATTACTTGACACTTGGGCATAAGGTATACAAGCCTTTATTAATGTTTGTTTCTCATGCTCTGCAGAGCCTTTACATCCGTACAACCTCTAAAATTAGCTCCTCTCCACATTGTATGCACTGAGGTGCTGTACTTATTGGTTTTTTTTACAATCTTATGCTCATATTCTTGGCATTGTTTAGATTGGGGTAATAGTGAAGGTTTTTGTAAGCTTCTATTTGCACTTTCAAATACAGTATTTCCTTAATCTCATAAATTTTTTGACACCTTCATCTTTGTTAAAGGCTAGAGTGAATAGTGGAAGCGGGTTTTTTATCTTTTCTGCTCAGAAGCTGACTTACTTCAAGTATTTTAAACCTCTTATTTTTTAGATCCTCTTTGATTTGCTCTGATTGACAAAACCCATACAATATTTTTACAAATACCTTTATTGGTCTTGACAGTTTATTTTCGAATAAAAACACCATTCCAGTTCAGTATTGTTCAGCGTTTGTGTAACAGATCTATATGTAGTTTCATCATCTACATTGATTTTCAAATTACCTTCAGATAACGTGGTGGCTTCATACTGTATTTTGTTTTGTTTTAAGTAATCTGACAACACGTCATATTTTTGTGGTTTGTTAATTATAACTGGAGGTGGTTTAATGTTTTTAATTTGTGGTCTTTTCTTGATATTTCTAACTCTGATCCACTCTGTTTCACGGCTCAATTCTTCTTCATCTGTATATTATTGTGGACACTTATTATTTGTCCTTCTTCTAGTTACCTTCTGAAGTTTGTATTTTTTGTTGTATTTCTTCGATTTATATTTCTATCTCACTGAGTATAATTTCTAATTTTTCTCACTGTAGTTTTTCGTAGGTCCATACCTGTTCATTTTGGGTTCTGACTTGAATATCGTTAAACAAAGCCTGATTTTGTTTCAGTATGGGTTCCTCGTGATTTTCCTAAACCATTGCTTGGATTTTTTTCGCTAGAAGAGCTTCAGCCGGTGACGGTGGCTTTGAATTAAGATCTTGTAATTTGTAATTTTTTTCGACACATTATTATTATAATTTGATAAGAGCAGGGGCCATAAGACCCATAAGCCCATATTAACTGAATATAAAACAATATTACTAAAAACTAAAGCAATAACAAGTACAACCGATGAATAAACAATGAAACAAATGAAATGTTAATTAAAAAATAGAAAATTATCAAGTTCGTTTTTGAACACATTGACAGATGGAGCATTTACAACATTCTCCGGTAGAGAATTCCAAGTGTAGAATATTCGATTAAATAAAAAATTTTGCCTCGTTTTCGTAAAAAATTGTTCTTTTTTCAGCTTCCATTTATGGCCACGTAGTCGATTTTCACTATCCACGATGAATATACATTTTAAATTTCCAAAATTATATTTTAAAATACGAAAACAAATTATCATATCACCCCGCAGACGGCGATTTTCAAACGTTTGTAGTTCAGCCATATGTAGTATCTGCGTAATTAGGTCTCATACGTCCGAAAAATAGTCTGGTTGATCGGCGCTGCACATTTTCAAGAACATTTTTATCCCGCACTAGTTCCGGACACCACACAGCTCCGCAGTACTCGATGATCGGACGGATAGAATTTTGAAAAGACACTTTTGCGAATGTTTTCTTTAATAAGTACATTTTCGTGTTCGCCTTTTTTGGAGAACTACACTTTTATTAGTATTTAGAGGTAGCATCCAATCTGAGCACCAGTTATAGATGGTCATCTTGAAGCTGTTGGAAGTTCAAAGATGAGTCACTAAATATTTTAGTGTCATCTGCGTAAAAAATATTGTTGCACTTGATATGTAATTGAAGGTCACTGGCATATATTATAAATAAGAGTGGACCCAGAACTGATTCCTGAGGAACCCCACTTAAGACTGGTCTTTCAAGTGAATGCGAATTTCCAACTTTAACACAGTACTTTCTATCAATTAAAAATGATTCGATCCATTTAAGTAAATCACCACGTATACCAAGGTGTTCTAACTTATGTAGTAATCTTCGTTTCGGCACACGATCAAAAGCTTTCGCAAAATCCAGGTAAATAATGTCTATAGGTTTTTTCCTGTCTAATGAAACTGTCCACTCATTTACACACCAAAGCAAACTGGTCATGGTTGATCGCCCTTTTACGAATCCATGTTGCTGTTTGGGAATGATTTCTTCCACTAAGAGAAACTGAGAAACGTTCTCTGTTATTATGGATTCCATAACTTTACAGATTATGGATGTGAGGCTGATTGGGCGGTAGTTATTAGAGTCTAGTTTGTTTTCTTTCTTGAAAATGGGTGTTACAGAAGCTGTTTTCCAGATAGAGGGTAATGTGTGTGTATTAAAAGACAAAGACATTTTAATAGATAACGAGACTGATATGGTATTAGAGCATTTTTTTTTTAAATAGAGAAAATATTTGATCTAGACCCGGAGAGGAGTTGTTTTTTAATTTTAAAAGGTGACGTTTGACAATTTCAGGAGTAAAATTGAGCCGTTCTAAGGAAGAAGGGATTCTTTCGGGTGAGATATCTGGTAACTGGGGGGGGGTTCATTGGTGGAAACTTTTGTAAAGGTATTAGATAAAAGTTCAGCCGTTTCGAAATTATTTTGGCAGGGACTTCCATCTTCTTTGTTTAGTAAAGGAATGGATACTTTTGATGACAGTGAAGATCTAATATATTTGTATAATTTTTTACAGTTTTGGCTGCATGCTATCGACTCTT